CCTCCAAATGTCGATGTCCGCTCCCGGCCGGCAGGAAGGACACACGACAAAGTCTGGCAGTGGACAACCTTTTCTTTTATTTTTCTTCTCCGTACAGCCTGCCCTGGGATCGCTCCCAGCCGAAGCCTCCTTTGGTCCGCTCCCCGCGGCTCCTTCTGGGCTTCTACTTCCGGGCTTCTTCTTCCCCCCCAGGGGTGGCACCAGTATATATACGGATACAGTGTCCAATCATGTTAAAGTGAGCAAGGCAAGCTGATTGGCTAACATCATCAGTTGCCAGGCAGACTATATTGTTGAGCGGGTTGCTTACGCGGTAAGCAGGAAACTAACGTGCTCGATGGGAGGGGTAATCTACCTCAGGCTTTACTCTTTACTACAGGCCTCACGTCCGCCAAGTGAGGCGACCGGGCTCGGGGCTGCGGCTCCCAACAATTACCTATCTATTTTTTCAGTTTAATTGCTTACCCTGCTTGGTGGTTTCTTTCTGTTGTTCTTCTTGGAATTGTGGTCATTTTTTATCTGTATCTAGAATATCTTTCAGTTCTCATTGTAGGGTTGGTTTGGTAGTCATAAATTTCTTCAGTGTTTCTTTGTCATGGGAGAATCTTAATTCTCTATTAATTTTGAAAGATAGTTTTTCAGGATACATTAACCTGGGTTGGAAGTTGTTGTTTTTTCTTTATTTATTCTCAATACTTGAAATACTTCACTCCAAGCTCTTCTTGGTTTCAAGGTTTGTGTTACGTCTACTGTGATTCTGATTGGCTTTCCTTTATACATGATCTGTTTCTTTTTCTAACAGCTTTCAATATTCTGTTGTTGGGTTGAATTTCTGGAATCTTGATTATAATATATAATATATAATATAACATATATTTTATTTTAGACAAGTATGTTTGGAGTTCTGTATGCTTATCTACACTTGGAAAGTTAGTTTTCTGCCGTTATTCTGTGAAAAGTTTCCATGACATTTATACTGTCTACAGTTTTTTCATTGATACCAGTCAAACTTATGTTATTTTTCTTTGCTTCATCTTGAAGCTGTTGGATTAATTTCTCATGGCCTCTTGCTATTTTTAAACTTTCTCTTCATGATCACTAGTTTCAATTCTGTCTTCAAGATCCTCTCCTTCATTCCTTCTATTGCATATGTTTTTATTGGAAGTTTTAATCTCTTGAATTTCTGTTTGGATCTGTTTCATGAATTCCATTTATTTCCTATGTTGGGCATCTTTTATTTCCATCATTTTTTCATCTATACTTTTATATGTATCTAATATCTTTGATTTTAAATATCATTTCTTTTTGTATCTGAGAGATTATTTTCTCTATAGCATTTTCCACTAGTTTTTTTCACTTCTATTGCTATCATTTCAGAAATTCCAGTATTTGGTTTCCAATTTCATCTATCTTATTGAGTCCTGGGCTTGTCCTCTGTGGGAGGAGAGCTTGGGGTTTTATTTTGCATCTATGTCTTGTCATTTTCTATTTTCTCTTTTTAATTTTATTTTGTTTTCTGTGTTGATGCTTGCTGATTTCTTATGATATATAGCTTTATCACTAGTATTGAGGCTTCCCTAGAAGATGTTCTCAGGAATGTCCTTTAGATGTAGGTGTTTCTTCATAGCTACCCTTGGAACCTATCTTTTCAATTTGTAAAGGATGCAAAATTACTATTTGGTTCAGTTTTCAATCCTTTGGTACTGTGCTTTGGTGATGATTATGACCCCATGCAATCACAATGTCATCATACAAGGAGAAAAACTTTATAACATGTATGACATTTGGGCTAATGTGGTACAGTTAGTAATAAGAATAGTTTCACGTACAATTTAACTACTAGCAAACTATGGCAACCATTAACCTACTACTTCCATCCACAGGAGCAAGCTTGAAGGTTATATAACATAATTAAACATATACTGTATACTTGTACACTGTGGTTTTTCCCTTTTGGAATGACTTTACCCTTCTGCAGAGGGTGGGATTTTAAAATGGGCAGGGAATAAAGTGATGAATGTGGTCAGATACAGTAGAATCAAAGCTGGAGGTCAAAGGACAATCACTCTATTTTTTGGAAAACTGGAGGACACAGGAGGGAAAGAATGAAATAGAATGCAAAGGAATAATCATAAAGGGCAGAAAATGATTGTTCACTTGAAAGTAAATTCAAGAAGTGGTTGAGCAAAGAAGGAAGATCATTAAAACATGAAAGAAATATAAGACGGTTAAACAGTGAAGAAAAGGAGAAAGAGAAAGAACAAAAAAGAAGCAAGAAAGGAAAAAGATAGAGAGAGGAGACACACACACACCACCTAAATACAAAAATAACCACAGAATGCCAAATGAAACCAGATGATATCCAACCACACAGGACAGGCATAGCCAATCAGATAAACAAGGGAGAACAAAAGCAGTAAAATATTTCTAGTGTTTACAATTTTGTAATGGTTTCCATTTTAGACCCCAGAAATGTGCTGAATGTGGAGGTGATCTTGGCCTCTGGATGTGGGGGCTAGGACTGGTCTTCTGGTGATAGAGTACTCCAGGGTCTAACTGCTGGCTCCTAACTGCTCCTTTAGACACTTCCACATTGCTGGTCGATCCAAAGGCATGTGTGTGCCTGTGCCCAGAGCCCAGCTGTTGTCCTAAGACTTGGAGTTCTGATCAGTCCACCTGCCAAAGGCATGTGTCTTTACACTCCTTTTGCAGACACCACTACCTCAGGGACAATCTAAGAAGCATAGAGCATGGACTCATACTTCTTGCAGTCACCACCATCCCAGGGAAATAGAAGAAGTGCAGAATGTGAACTGACTCCATTTCTTAAGGTGATACATCAGTCCTCCTTCTGGGAAGCGAATGGCAATTATTTCTCTGTGTGTTCTGAATTTTACTAAAAAAATCATCATTAAAAATAGCTAAACTCCCTTCCTGCCTCTCATTCAAACCTCCAAGGAACAGCAGGCTGAACAATTTCTTCCTTCACTTATGAATTCTTCTTATAGAACTTTCCTAAAACATGTTTCTAAGAGTTACTTGCACTATTTGAGATCGTATTTTTGGTGCATAATTTGGAAAAGATGAAAGTTGTACTACTTGAGATATCTAAACAGTGACAGCAGAGGAGGACATATGTCTTGGTTACTTGTCTCTCCTTGTTAGAACAAAATATCTGATGTCCAAAATGAAGGAAGGAAACGTTTATTTAGCTCACTTTGTGGAGGTGTAAGTCCATAGTCACCTGGATCCGAAGCAGGGTATCATGGCACTGAGGCAGCACTTCAAGGTGGCAGTCAGCAGAAGCAGCCAGAGCAAAAGAAGGGAGAACAAGCCTCTTTTTTTTTCTTATATTGTATGTCACCCCCACCTCCCAATCCAGGGTAGATGTCACACTCACAAAATCTCGGTGCCCTCCTCTTGCACAAGATGAGGCTATTTACAAAGTAAGAATCCTGGCTCCGTGCTGAATCTTAGTTAAACATCTGTATTTCTCAGATTGACAGTGTATCATCCATAACAACATATAATTCAAAAAATGCCTAAGGCTCACAGGGAGCATCACAATTCCAAATGCCCAGAACCAAAAAGAAGGAGTCAAGTTTGTCATGATGGATTATGGACATATCAGTAAATTTCTATTAAATTGAATTAATTGAACTTAATTCATGTAGATGGACTGGTTTGACAATTCCTCGATTTATGAAAATTTACTAACAAGACCAATCGGTATAGACCATCATGAAATGGGCAAGAGGAAACTAAACAGATTACTCAGCAAAAGTGAAGAAAATTAGACCAGGGGCAAGGGAGGCACAAAACCAGGGGTCAGACAAGGGAAACAAGATCTCATTGTTTAGATAAGGAGAACGCAGTGCACCAAAATGACACATCAACAGCTGGAGCCACTCAGAGAAGGCGGCTCTAGAGGAGCCACCTGTGCCCTCTCCCTATGCTCTTGGCCTACCAGGGATGTCACTGGGAACAGTCCTAGGACCACTCCTTGCCACCTATGTCCCTGCCTGATGGTGAGCTCCATCCTTGGAGCATTCTCTGCAGGGGCTCATGCAGGTCAGTTGGGCAGGGGAGTTGAGATCTTTATTAGCAAGGGAAGGGACAACTGGATCAATACCTCAGGTTCTCCTACTCAGGACATGTCTCAGAGTGGATTCTACCTGCTCTCTGAGGGTTGTGGGTATGACAGGCCCCTGTCAGCAATGACAGCCACTCCCTCTCTAATGGTCCCTCTTTGGCTTCCCTTCTTTCTCTATCCTCCTGCTCACTTATTCATAGCTTCTGAGCCACTGTCCACATCAGGTGGGTTGCTTTAGCAGTTCAGGACAGATTCCATGAGCTCTTCAGTGTGTTTAGGAAAACTAAATCAAAGGGGCTGATATTCCTCCCAGAGTTCTGTATAAAGGAGAAAAAGAGGAAGAAAATCAGAGTGATAGACTCCTCAGGAAGCAGGAGTCTGAGGAAGTGGTGTCTGAGAAACGAAGCAAAACCCTCCAGGGTACCCAGAGACATACAGGAGATTGGGATGGGTTTTCCTCTCATGTGTGCAACAGCTATTGAAACCTCTTTGATTTAAGGTAAGGAAAACGGGTAACCAAACAGATGGAAGACCTGGGACTGTGCAGGTGGCTGACTTGTGGGTTTCATTTTGTGAGTCCTTTGCAGTTCCTTCTCTGGGGTTAAAGTAAGGAGGTCAGACACAAAGGCAGGATCCCTCCCTTGGAACACGACTGTTGTCTCATGGGCAGAGTGAGCCAGGCAACATGCATGACGTATCAGAGGAGCTGTACCTCTCTCTAGGGATTAGGGGTGTGCTGCTATTTAATCTCAACTCTGAGGACAATGAATGACATGCTTTAGTGGAACTGTGAAATAAAGGCATTCCTGAGACACACTGATGTGAGCCCATACAACAAGTGTATCAACTTGATGTGATGCACTTAAACATTCACTTCATAGAGTACTAAATCAACAAAGACAAAATATATTTTTGACATGTAAATTTTTAATTGAAAAATGTACACTTTGCATGCAGAGAAGCAAATATACGAGGCACAGATGATCAGTAATTCCATAATCACAAAGCACTGGACTTTAAAAATTATCTTCTCTAGGTATTCATTGTCATGAATAAAAGTGCAACGTGACAGAAGACTTACTAAATTGGTCTACAGGGAACTGGAGACAGCAAAGCATCCAGGCATCCTTTTCCACCCTCTTTTGGGGAACATAACAGCTATGACCCCTGTCTTGCCTTGACTATTTGTAGTCGCAGTAGTTCAGCCTCCAGAGACAGCTTATACAACTGCAGGGCCATCTGCGCTTCATCTGGGTTTGAGAGGCACTTCATGAGCTTTTTGCCTACGATCACCTGTTCACAGTTTTCTGGTACCTCCTGAAAGAGATGCTGGTGGTAGGTATGGTGTAGAAACTTCTGCTGACTCTCCAGCAATAGAATCGCATATTATATGGTCTCAAAACAGGAATCAATACTCCCAGGTCTATAGGACACTGCTTTCTACGGGGCTCAGTTTTTCCAATAAGCAAATAAGATTAGGGAAAATTGCCACTGCTAACTCACCAGCATGATTTGAGAAAAAAAGAATTTCTTTGAGAACTCAGAAATAATTCTTGACTAATCATATCACCATTTCTGGCCAGGACAGAGCTCTGTGGGTGACCACCATGTTCATGGTTGACAACACAAAATTATCTGAGTTGTTTTACTTACCCACTCACACTTGGGCACCCCTGGGTGCCATGTTCCTTTCTCTGAGCAAGTAATACTCGGAGAACCCTCCAATTTAAAGCCAGAGTCACAATGAATGGTGACATTTTCAGGTTCAATATACTGAGGCTTATCCACAGACAGCTTTCCATTTTCTATCTTTGGTTTCAGACACTGAGCTACAATGGAAAGAGATTTTAAGAAATCTATGAAAAAGACATGATAGTAGTCTAAGATCACAAGAGTGAGTTATATTTAAGTACTACTTATTGTTTTGTCTTTTCTCTCATTTTGATAACAATAATTTTATTGCTCATGATGATCCAAGCATTTTACATGACTATCTCAATTATCTCTCACAATAGGCCTATGAAATGAGTCCCACCATTTAATCTCATTTTATCTTGGAAGAAGTTTAGATTCAGACATTGTAAGAAACTTTTGCATTGTCGTAACTCGTTTAAGTAATGTGATTGGAGGTTTTTAAAAGTGAATGTGACTCCAGAGTCTCAGCTTGCAAAGTAACTGTCACAGACAAAGTATATATTTTTCAATTAAAAATTTACATGTTGATACAAGATGCTAGGCATGGAGGTTTTCCTGTTGCATATTATCCTGCTGTGTAATAAGGAAAATGGTGTCAAATAAATCTTGCATGATTTTTAATCTAGTAATGTGATGGTGGTATGTATGTAAAAGTCACACCCAATTTTGACTCCTCTTGTTGCCACGACTGATTGGTATTAGGAGTCCCTTCAATACACATTATCCTGTCATGCAACTGATGCCCTGTAAGAGACTTTGATGGAAATAGCTGCCACTCCATAAGGTCTGAAATTGGCCCAGAAGAGCCTGCATGCATGTTAGAATGTTTCCTTGGACACACAGGCGTGTTGTAATCATAGTGTGATGTCTCAAGACTATTTCTGGAAGTACCCACTGGGACAAGGGCCTGAATCAAGAAGGCTGAAATCCATGATTGGGAAAAGGAAGTGGAGGAGAGTCATGTTTGTGTACTTTCGTGTGCATCAGTGTGTTTCCCAGTGGACCATCATCTGCGTATATTAATTATGTAAAATAAACACACTGAAATAAAATATTTCTGTGCTGCATCTGTCAAAGAAGAGCTTTGTTCCCCATCCTCTAGCTACAGTTCCACGACCTTGGTCACGGCCTGAGAAGGAGCTCAGTTACCTTTACATTGGGGTGCTTCAGACGACAACAGTGAATTCTTACAGGTGATAGTATTTTGTCCAACCAGTGTATAACCATCATCACATTCATATACATATGATAAAGCTGATAAATAGCCACCTTCTTTTCTATAACGTCCATGGGCAATTTCAGGAGGTACATGACAGGCTTGATGATAAGACACAAAAGTGACAAAGTATGAGCTTGTAGAATGTGTGAATAAGCACATTTCAGAGTGTGTATACAGTTTATAAAAGGCTTCAAAATGTCCTTCTATATTCTCTGCCCATAAGATCACGTATTGCCCTACTGAAAGCTTTGGCTGTGGAACTAGACAGAGTCAAGTTACGAGCTTCTATAGTTTGAATGTCCCTCCAATGGCCCATAAGTGAAAGATTTGGTCACCAAGTGGCATTAGGGGAAGTGGAACCTTTAAGAGGGAGGACCTAGTAGGAGGTTCCTAGATCAGATGTGGGATCTGCCCCCCCCATTCTCTCTCTCCCCGTTCCTCCTTCCCTCAGTCCCTCCATCCCTCCTGACTCATGACAAGATGGACAATTTTGTCATGCACCATATGAACATAATTAAACCTTTCCACTTGATACGTGGTTTACCTAAGGTGTTTGTTATTGTCAAAGCTGGGTAGCATAAGACTTTCATTTTATTAATTCACTTTGCATTGTTTTGGGACCATTTTTGCATGAAGGCTAGATTTAGTCCTAAGTCACATAGCAATGAAGGGACACTTAAGCAGATTCATACTAAATGACAAGATGTAAAAAGGACACCACAACATCTCTTCCTAAAATATTTAACATCATTGATTCAAAGACACTGAGAAAAAGGGGGCTCTTTTACTTTTCTGTCTGCCTAATGGCAAGATGAAATTCACAAAACTGAAAGTTCTTTCTGTCTTTCACTCCCCATTTCCTGCCCAAAATACAGATGCAAATCCTAAATTTCTTATCACCATGGAGACAGCACTAGCAGGGCCAGAGGAACTGAGAACAGATTTTACTCCCTTCTCATAGCTTCCCCACCTTTTCCTCCTTTGATCTGCCATTTCTCTAAAATTTATGATTCTTATTTAAAATACTGTTTAAGAGTTTTAAGCCCCTGCTTTGTAAGAATTACTTTCCAGAGAGAGTTATTTTTCTCTTACTTGGTAAGTATGACATATATCATTAAACTTACTTGTTTTTCTTTCACTAACCTGTCTGTTGTTTTAGGAAATTGTTCTAACTACAAACTTATGAAGGTTAAGGAAAATTATATTTTTCTCCCTTTCATATGTGTCTCTGTGACTGAAGATGGTAAGTCCATCCATAATCTCTAGTTACTGATCTCCATTCAAAACTGTTCATCCATTTGCATCAAGAAAACCTTTATTGTATTTATATTTTAGAAGACTGTACTTTGGGAAGAATAGAAAAGGTAGGTTTGATACCTAATAATCAGGACAAGTACCTCTCTGAAATGGATTCAGTTCAGGAAACATCACATGAGAAAGTTAAATAAAATCAATCAGATGGAATATCAGATAAAGAACTGCACTAGTGTAGTTCAGTGGTTACAAGTCCCATAATAAAATGCATCCTAGATACATGGAAAAGGTGATAGCTTAAATAAAGGCAATTAAAAATTCTGGAATTGCCATAGGAAATGGCAGAAGAGATTAAATGACTCAAGAAAGTGAACATGTTGGAGGGCATATACTATGTACACTGGAAAATTCACTAGGTGATTATGTTCTGTGGACAGGCCTAGAGCAGAAGTCTCCAAGTTCCAGGCCACAGACAGAATCAGTTGTGACCTGTTAGGAACTGGACTGCACAATAGAGGTAAGTGCAGGCAAGCAAAACTTCATCTGTATTTATACCACTTCCTTCCCTCACTTTACTGCCTGAGCTTCCTAGCAGCAGCATTAGGTTTCTATAGGAATACAAACCCTACTCATGTGAGTGATTTAGTTTGTGCTCCTCATGCACATTCACGATTGATGATCTGTGGTGCAGCTGTGCTGGTGAAGCTAGCACTAGGAAGTAGCTTCAAATACAGATGAACATTAGCAGAGAGGTCTGACTGCACAGAGGTCATTCTAAATCAACTGCTTGCAGACTCAGATCAAAACCCTATTAGTGAGTAGCAAGTGACAAGCTGTACCTGGTGGTGAGCTTTGTAGTGGTAAGAGAGTTGATGCACTTCAATTGTACAGCTGTATCTGGACTTTAAGTCAGAATCGGACATTTATCTTAGTCCACATGTAGCCTGCCCGTATTTTATTTACCATTTCCATCTACACCTCTTTCCTGTACTTGTTTCAGTCACAGTTTTGGGAAGCCCACAGCTAACCCTAGACAAAATGAGTAAAAAGTAAACATCATAACTCAGGTCAACGAGGTTGATGAGACTACAGACTGTGTCATCCATTGAGAAATACTGGCTAGCCAAAAATGTCACTTGAATTTAAGAATGTTTTACAGCATGTGATTAAAATTATCAACCATTGTAAAAAATAAAGAAGACCGCATCTTTTCTATCCATTCCTTAGTTGATGGGCATTTGGGTTGTTTCAAGATTTAGCTATTACAAATTGTGCCACTATAAACATAGGTGCACATACATCACTGGGGTATGATGTTTTTAGTTCTTTTGGGAAGATACCCAGAAGGGGGAAAGCTGGTTCAGATGTATCTCTAATCTTAGTTTTTTGACGATTCTCCACACTGATTCCACAGTGGTTGCACCAGTCTACACTTCATCAACAGTGGAAAAGGGTTCCTATTTCCTCACAGCCCCTCCAGCATTTTTATGCAATGGAGTACTACTCATCCATAAAGAAGAGTAAACTTCAGACACTTATTGGTAAATGGATCCAATCTGAAACCATACTCATAAGTGAAATTAATCGGACTCATGTGTGTAAACATTGTGTTTTCTCCCTGGTGTGAGAAACTGAAAGAGTAAATAAGGACCAAAATGTACAACAGATTTTGTGAAATGGGAAGAAATTGTTCAAAAAGAAAGAGGAGGTAGATTCCTGCAGCTAGGAGGCATAGGGCCAGCCCTGCCCTTGCCTGCACTCCAACAGCCACTGGACAGCCAAATAGTAGCAGAGGGGGCTCGCTGACTGAGGCAGACAGCAGGCAGCCAGTACAGGTAGAGAAAGCCAGTAGATCCACCTCCACCTGCTGGTTGCTGCCACTGGAAGGCCTTTCCCTATAGTTGGCTAGTAGGAGCAGGGACATACAGCAACGTAAGCTCTGTGCACCTGTAGGCCACCACTGGAGGCCCTTGATTCCTTCAGGCAGCATCACTCACCAGCAGAATCAGACAAACACATCCTTGTGTATGTACCTGCCACCATCGCAGGACTCCCAGTGTAGACACACAGACTGAGAGAAGCAGCCCCACCTCCACACATTCCTAATCATCAGGGAAGCCCTAGTATGGATGCACAGGTCTGGGGAAGCCTGCTCCATGCCCTGCTACCTCCCTATAGTCTCGGGTTAAAGGAACTCAGGTGCCTGTTCTATTCCCCTACACTGTGGAGGGGCAGCCAATGTGGGCAGAGCCTGGGTCCCCACAACCAGCTTGTTGGGAGGAACCCAGGAGAATGTCAAGATGAAGGAGCAAAAGGCAATCTCAGACCTCTAGCCCACACACAATAAGTATGGGAGATACAGTCATGAAAGAAAATGGAAGTCTCACACTTGTAATCTCTGAGAGGATAGTAACTGAACTAAAGAAACAACTTCATGAGACTGTAACAGCAGTCAAATAAGAAATAATGCCTCACGTAAAAGAAGAAATCACAAACATACTGAAAGAATTGCTCAGCATGTCTAAAGTAAACATATATCAAAAAGAAGTGCATGTGAAAATGATAGAAACTAGAATGAATATAGAAAGGAATTACAATGCATGAAACAGTATTATAGAGAGATCCAGGAAATTAAAACTTCAATTGAAAGCTGGATAAACCACTTGAAAGAGACTGAAGATAGAGATTCAAACCTTGAAGATAAGATTGCAGCTAGTGATTATGAAAGGAAAGATCTCTTTAAAATAACAAGGAATCAGGAAACAACAATTCAGCATCTTCAAAATGAAGCAAAAAAGCATAATGATAGGTGTTGGGGAAGAAACAAGGGTCACACAAATGAAATTAAGACTATTTACAGAAGTAATAGCAGAAAATTTCCCAAACATGGGAAATGGATCTGGCATGTAGATAAGTGAGGCATATAGGACTCAAACTAGCCATAGCCAAAGGAAATCTACACCCAGACATATAATAATCAAGATCCCAGAAATTCAACACAAGAACAGAATATTAAAACCTGTTAGAGAAAAGAAACAGATCACTTATAAAGGAAAACCAATCAGAATCACAGAAGACTTAACACAAACCATCAAGAAGAGTTTTGAGTGAAGTGTTTCAAACTCTGAAAGAAAACAACTTCCAACCCAGATTGATATACCCTGCAAAACTACCTTTCAAAATTGATGGAAAAGCAAGATACTTCTATGATAAAGAACAACTGAAGAAATTCATGACTACCAAACCAACCCTACAGAGAGTGCTGAAGGGTGTTCTGAAAAGAGATAAAGATGACCATGGTTCCAGCAGCAGCAGCAGAGAAGAATCACCAAACAAGTCAGGTAACTGAACAAAGGGGAAAGGTTGAGGATCAACAGCAGGAGGATAGCATGGCAGAGACAAACCAATGTATAGTGGTTGTAACCATTAATGTAGATGGACTCAGTTCAGCAATAAAAAAAAAAACCACAGAGAGTGGATCAAGAAACAAGATCCATCAATATACTGTATACAAGAAACACATTTAACTGGAAAGGAAATTCACAGACTGAAAATCAAAGGAGAGAAAACAATTGATCCATGTGACACGAGACCAGAAAACAAACAAGAGTAACTTGCCCATCAACTGCAGAATGGATAAGAAAGATATAGTATCTCCATGCAATAGAAAGCTACCCAGCTATAAAGAAGAATAATCTCAAGGCTCTTGTAGGTAAATGGATGCAACCGGAGATCATATTCATGGGAGAAACAATTCAAACTCATATGCATGAACCCTAGCATAAGAAACAAAAGAGTTAATGGGATCCAAAAGCAAAATAGTCAATGTAAGTGCAAAGGGGAG